GAAAATGATGGAAAGGAGACCATTCCAGTGTTCAAATTATAGAGAGTAAACCAGGGCATGATGGAGTATGAAAGACTAAGAAGGTTTCACTTTCAAGGCCTGACCATTGGGGCTGATGAGAGATGGCTCAACAATTAAGAGCCCTGCCTGCTCTTCCAGAAGGCCTGGGTTCAATTCCCTGCACCCACATGGCAGCTCACATTGGTCTGAAACACCAGTTCCAGAGGATCCAGTGCTCTTTTCTGGCCTCCGAGGGCATTGCATGCACGAGGTACATAGACATACTCACAGGCAAAACACCCATACACGTAAAAATAAATTTTATAAATTCTGATAAATTGATGAGATTGATATTGTGAGGCTGAATAGCACCCAAAATCCCAACCATTTCTCACCCTGGCTGATGAACTATCAGATCTGAACAAGGGCTGCATCTGTAAACTCAAAATTCTAATGGAATTGAAGGGAAAATTGATACAAAATGCTGCCTCCTCAAGCAAGGGACAGTGAAGATACACTTCATGGTGTCTTCCTTTGGGAAACGCAAGGCACTTCGTGGAAGAGCTGTGCTCGTGCCGGTACCCAGGATGCCTGTAAGGGATAGGCTCCTTGGTGGTTTCCACTCCTGTAACGGAAAGACACATCCTAATAGGTTCACAGCACACTGCTTCAACCCCGCCCCCAACCCGGCAGAGAAATGCTGGGGTCACAAACGTTTTTAAGGGTGCTGAGATTGATTATAGACCATGGTTTCAGAGTGTCAGTCTGCCAAGGTGGGGAGAGCATGGCACAGCATGGCACAGCATGGCACAGCAGTTCACCTTAGAGTCTCCAGGAAGCAAAAGAGGAGGAAGGGATTGAGCAGCCCCTGTAACCAACACTCTTCCTCCATTCAGGCCTCACCTCCCAGAGCTGGGCCATCAGCTGAGTTCAAGCCTTCTATACATCAGCCTGTATGGAACAATTCAAAATGAAAACACAGTATTTACCAAACATGGGCCAGCTCCCTCAAGAACGTTTTTAAAAATAAACTGGTCAAAAACCATTTAAATCTCTTATTACTCGCACAAATCGTATGGCTGATTTCTGAGAGAGGCCACTAAGCATCCATGTAATTTATTACGCTGTAAAATAAATGTTAGGTTTGAGTTCTTAAGAGCATGTCTGAGTTGAAAAGTGTGGGACTAGTTCTCAGAAACCAGCTGGCCAGGGGTTCCCACATGACTTGCAGATGAAAGATGGCTGTAGAAATAAGCATCCGTAGCAGACAGTTTTCACCGCGTGAACTAGTTCAGCAAGTATCTCCAAATCTCTGGGAAAATATCTGAACTCGGTTATAAGATCCTTGGGCTTGAATAGATGTTGAATTTTTGAAAAAAAAAAAGTCATACTGCAAAAAGACATTTAAAAGCACCTTAACCCTGCTTAGATTTGAAAGCGAGGAGGTCTCGTGCCTTATTGAAATCCATTTGGGGGAAATCGTAGCATAAACCGAGCAGTGTTTTCCTTTTCCTCTGACACGACATCCATGTGACTGGCTGAGAGCCCCTCTCCCAACATTTTCTCAGCCTGGGCACCTGGCTTCGAGAGAAGTGGAAGAATGGGAAGGCTTGTGACTCAGCAGGTGATGAGCTGTCCTGGCTTGCGACTCAGCAGGTGATGAGCTGTCCTAACTTGCTTGTTTCTAACTTCTGGATTTCATAAGAGAAAAAATCTTTCTGCCCTTCACAGGAATGAAATAGAAATTTTACCGTGCTCTTCAGTTTCTTGTTTGTGCAAGCACACTTTTCCTCCTGCTGTTATTGGACAAGCATGAAGAGCAAAGGGAGATGCTGTGTCACTTCAACCGAAGGTGAAATCCGTGCCAGTTGCATGGCTAACTGGGCACTGAGCACCTATCTAGCAAATAATATGCAAGTATCTCAAACTAAATGGGTAAATTTCATTATTTCTTTTATTTTAGAATACTACTTTTATGTATATATCTTGACATATAAGAAGAAATTGTCATTCCTCAAAATCAAATTGTAATCTTTGCTAAATTAAAAGGAAAATTTTTCTCTTCCACTTATTGCATTAGTTATGGTTAATTAACATTCTTAAAGCCTACCTAGAGTAGATAACAAGTTGAACAAAAATAAACAGATTCAAATTCTCTCTCATTTGTGTGTCTCTCTGTCTTTCTCTGTCTCTCATTTGTGTGTATTTCTCTCTCTCTCTCTGTCTCTCTCCTCATGCACATGTGCTCCCATGGGTACACACACTCATGGATGTGCGTATCAAGGCCAGAGAAGATGTCAGATGTCTTCCTCTCTCATTCTCCACATGCTTTTTTTGGAGACAGTGTCTCTTGCTGAAGCTCACTCTTTCAACAAAGCTGGCTGGCCGAAGAGCTCCTGGGCCCCACTTGTCTCCCTTACTCAAAACTGGGGTTACAGGCACCCAAAGCAAGGTTCAGTTTTTATTTGTGTGTTTGGACTTCTTGCTTGTATAGCAAGTGCTCTTATCCACTGAGCCATCTCTGTAGCTCCATAGATTCACAGTAAAAACATTGCTTTCTATTCAAAAGAGCACTGCATTGCACAGCTGTGTGAATGCACTTAATACTACTGAACAATTTAAGAATAATGACAATGGTGACACTTGCATTATATATATTTTGATACAGTTAAAAAAGCATTGGCAACTATTCGGTCATATATTGCTCACTGTGCTATCTTATGCATTCACGCATGTGTTGTGTGCGTGTAACTTATGGAGGGGCCCTGAAAATGGTAAAATTATTTAGAGCATTCTTCTATGGCCAAAATATAGGATTGTTCTAGAGGATGGAAAATGGAGCTTCTTCGGGAAAGAGGACATGTTTTGATAAAGGCCTATAAAGACAGCTAGGCAATAATTCTGACCTGATGGGCCAGAGAGATAGTGTGTGCAAATACCGATTAGTAATCATATAGAAAGCTTCAGTAATAGGCTTTAGGCATACTCAGAAGGGAAACTGCAGAGATGCCTGGGGGCTGAGAAGGAGACTGTACAGGACAGGCACTTCACTAAGTTCACTATATCATCCAATGCAGGGCAAGTGGAAGAAATTAAGTCTGTAAGTGTTTATTTAGTCTGGGGTAACAAGCATCCCCAGAATGTGAGATGTTGTCTGTTGTAATGTTTGGGCATTTGAATTCTTATAGATTATATTGAGTGATTTGGGGTGGGAATAAAATAAGTGATAGTGTCCAAAGGCCTGTAATCAGTTAAAGACAATACAAAGTTACTTCACAAAGAATCAATAGAAACTCATCATGTTTGATAAGAGACAACAAACCTAGGCTAGGGATGGTGCTGATGAGAAAAGAAGAGTATGCCTAAAGGTTTGTATCAGGCATTGGAAACCCAAAGTCTGTTGCTGCTGTGAGGACAAACGGGGGTACTGAAAAGATCTACAATTTGGGAGAAAGAAGGAAGAGGGGTGGGCTGGAGAGATGGCTCAGCAGTTGTGAGGCTTCCACATGGCAGCTCACAACTCTCTGTAACTCCAGTTCTAGAGGACCCAACACCCTCACACAGACATGCACGCAGGCAAAACATTAGTGCACATAAAATAAAAATAAATTATTTTTAAAAAAGAAGGGAGAGGGGAAAGGATGGCCTTCTGCGAGTTTGAGGTTTGAGTGGTCCCCCTTACTAGCTAGGGAGGTTTCTCTCCTCTGAATGTCAGTTCCTTACTTATATATAAAATGGTCAGTTGCCAGGTGTTCCTGAAGGTCTTGTACAGGCTCAGTGGTTTTATCATACAGAGTTGGAGATAACAGTGGGAGGTCAAATGGAGATACAAACATTGAACTTAATGTTACATGACAATGTCAAAATCAAAGCCACAAATAACTCTACTCTCCTATGATGTACCTACATACAAGTATATATATCCAGCTATAACATCTGAATTTAAAATACATTTGCCAAATTCTTTTTATATGTGGGGCTGGTATGTACTTCTTCCAGAAGTCTATATTTTAGGGTAAATGACATACTTGAATTCCTAATGTTTCTGTATCTTTTACAAAGATCTTTCAAAATTTTATTCACGCCATGCCTTTAATCCCAGCACTCGGGAGACAGAGCCAGGCGGATCTTTGTGAGTTTGAAGGCAGCCTGGTCTACAGAGCGAGATCCAGGAAAGGCGCAAAGCTACACAGAGAAACCCTGTCTTGAAAAACCAAAAATAAATAAATAAATAAATAAATAAATAAATAAATAAATAAATTTATTCACAACAACCTTCTGATATGGGGATCAATATTTGCCTTCTTTCAAATAAAAGGTGGTCTTGTCAAATATCAAGAGATGTTGATATCAGACAATTCGGATATAAAACAAGTCAGTCAAATTTAATAACTAAAGGTCACTTCTTTTATTATGTTTTAGCGATGTAGAGAAACCAATGTCGGAGATGAGAGGGTCAAGGAGACGGAAGGTGAAAGTGCATCATATTTGATGAATGAATAAACTATCTGGGACTAAATTTTAAAAGATGGTTACCTTCCTATCAGATCACACACACATTTTCCTATTTTAATAATAACAGGACAAAACAAAAACAATATAGCATACAGAGTTACACAGGGTTTTTTTGTTTGTTTGTTTGTTTTTTTGCGGGGGGTTGGGGAAGGCAAGAAACTGCAAAGAACGCAGTTGGCGGTGGCAGGTTCTGACGTGCCCCGGCCGGACCCGGAGCGGAGCGCCGCTCAAACTGAGATGTGGCCACCCTCTGTGGAGCTGAGTCAGGCTGGGACCTTCTCACACCAACCACAGCCAAGCCAGCACGTCTCAAGGACAGAACGCCTCGCCGGCTAGTAGGATGGAAGGATTCAGACGCCTGTGGTCTCCAAGGGCAACGCGCGACCACACTTCCGGAAACGTCGCGTGCTGGGGGGCGCCGCTGTTTTACGTCACTTCCGCCATCCCGGGCTTCGTGCATCTGGAGAGGTTGCGGTGGGGATTACATTAGACAGGATTGCTTCTCTTCCGGTGCTGTACCCTGTATTAGGGGAGGCTTTAGGACCGCAGCGTCCGCTAGTGACAGGCTCTTCCCGCAGAGCAGTCCTTGGCGTTTCTAGCCCGGTAAAATTGTGCACCGGTACGGTGGCCGAGGAGGTTTGAGCGCGCCGGAAGTGTTCCCCGGCGCTCGCGCCTAGCCGGGGCCGGAGACGCACGTGGCGCGGTGAGTGCTGCGGCGGCGGGCGAGGGTGTGGGATGGAGCGGGCCGGGATGTGGCGGCGAGGCGCGGGCCGTCCCCGTCCTGGTGTCCTGAGTGGAGCCGAGGGGACTGTGCTCAGAGCCCGCAGTGACCCGAAGGAGCGGGCCTTCTCTTTCACCAGGCCCGAGAGAACATGTCTTTCCGAGGAGGAGGCGGCGGAGGCCGCGGAGGCTTTAATCGCGGTGGTGGAGGCGGCGGCTTCAACCGTGGCGGGGGTAGCAACAACCACTTCCGAGGCGGAGGCGGCGGCGGCGGCGGCGGCGGCAATTTCAGGGGCGGCGGCCGAGGAGGATTTGGACGAGGGGGCGGTCGTGGAGGCTTTAATAAATTCCAAGATCAAGGACCCCCAGAACGTGTCGTCTGTAAGTCGTCTTCAGAGCTTAAGCTCCTTTGCAGTGGGAGTGGAATCGGGCAGTGGGTTGTGTTTCCAGCACGTCTGATAGTAAGGCTCCGAAAGGCAAGTCTGTAGGGCACACTGACTGAGAATCATGTCATAGCATATAAGGAAGTGATCATGAGAACTGAAATGCGATCGGAGGTGAACTTGAGTTTGGACTGAAAAGTTGAGAATTAGACAATATTGAGTGCCCAGCCCGTACTAAGAGAGAAAATGATTCACGATTAAGTTTCTTTGCTATCGTAGTAAGATTGGTGCTGTGATCCCTAATAATACAGTTGAAATACAAAGCCACGTTTTTAGCCTCCGTAGTCCGTGCTGTCGGTTACCAAAAAGCAAGGGAAAATGGGAAATTGGCTTGGGAGAAGGCAAGAAAAATGCCTAACTAAAGTAATTTTGAGTAATTATCAGAAAGGTGTGATGGAGTCATGGGAAGAAAGAGGAGAGGGGTGGATCTGTATGCGCGATTGGTTTGCTGGACAAAATGGTGAAAGTCAAGGGGAAGTCGTAGTAAGCCATGTATGAGATACTGAGAGCCGTGTTCAATAAGGTGACATGAAGAAAAAGTGGAAAGCTAGGAGATATGTCCAGCCTTTTAACATTGTCATCTACAGAGTTCACACTACAGAACCGTAGTCTAATTAGCACACACATACACACACACACACACACACACACACACACACACACTCACACTCCCTTGCACAACCATGCAAAAACATGTTTTAAATAAGTGTACCATTTTGTGTTGGGCCACACTCAGTTCATAGCTATCTTGAAGGCTGTGTATTGGACACACGGATGAAAAAGAAATTTCAAAGGAAACACAATAAGTAGAACTTGGTTAATGCTGAGAATAAAAGGTTCTAGTTGTTAAGGGCAGGGAGGGAGTTTTGTAGTCTTATGGTAGTTAATTCTAGGTTATAGAAACAATGGTACTTACTTTGTAATTCTAGACTTCCCTGGAAAGGGTGATCATTGGTGAAGAAGTGGTAGTGGTAACGAGTTCTAAGGAAGGAGGGGACAGTCAACAAAAACCAGACTGATTCACGTTTCTAGGCTGGGGAAAAGAAAAATGTTAATGAAATTGTAAAAGCCAAGGTACGGTAGCTGTCATTTGTTGGAAGGTGTCCATGTCCCAGGCTCTGTTCTAAGCCCTTCATTTGTTGCTCTGGTTCCTCGTGTATCAGGTGTGGCTGCCGTGAGGTGACTAGCTTCATGTACAAGGGTGCAGAGAGTCCCAAGGTAATGAATGGCGTCTAACTTAGGACCACAGTGTTGATAACTGAGCTCTGCCTTAAAGGAGATCCGATATGGGGAGAGACCAGGTGGCCAAGAATGCGTCCAGCACAGTTGGTCAATATCTGAAATGGTTTCATGTCTGTTTTCTTGTGCTGTTTCAGTATTAGGAGAGTTCATGCATCCCTGTGAAGATGACATCGTGTGTAAATGCACCACAGAGGAGAACAAGGTGCCTTACTTCAACGCTCCTGTTTATTTAGAAAACAAAGAACAGATCGGGAAAGTGGATGAGATATTTGGACAACTTAGAGATTTTGTATCCTTTCTAATGGGATGAGCCAGTGATCTCATTGAGGAATTATTGTCCCTCCCCTCCCTGCCAGTTAAATATCAGTTAAAGCAAATCCGTTGCTTCGTTTAGTAGACTGTCCTTTTGGGAAGTTCTGGAAATAGTAGCCGTTTGGACAGATGCCACAGGATTGTATTGGCTCTGCTGTTGCTTTGCATAGGATGGTTCCACTGGAATATCATGGTAGAATTGGGGTACTGATTGTGTTTTTTAAAGAAAATATCTTTTCCTCTTGGAAATTTCTTTGTTTCTTATAGCCAGGCATGCTTTTTAAATGCTTAAACTCAAAAGTTTAATGTCTTCTTGCATCTTTATTTCTTAGTTGTTCCTTAATGTAATTAATAGTATTTTTCAGTTAAATTGTCAGAAAACATGAAGGCATCTTCCTTTAAAAAGCTACAGAAGGTGAGCCAAACTTAGAATTACAATTCTTAGATTCAGAAGAGAATGGTGTGTGCCTTAGGGATGGTCTTACTTGAGACCCTTAGGGCTCCTGCACTGTGATGCAGGGAAGCTCTGAAGCTGGTGCACAGTAACACAGGCGTTGAGTTTACTGTTCCCCAAGTGTCTCTGTGTTGTAGCCCTGGTTGGCCTGGAACTCACTTATTGAGATGAGGTTGACTTCTAACATGATGTGATCTTCCTGCCTCCACCTCCTGAGTGCTGCGATTACAGGTATGTGCTACTGCACCCAGTCTAAGCTCTCTAGTCTTGAAAAGTAATGTTTTAGCCAGGCATGGTTTTGCAAGCCAATAGTCCCAGCACTTGGAGGCAGAGAGGCAGGGGGCAGCTGCTTTGAGTCTAGCTTAGGCTACATATTGAATTGCAGGCCATCTTGAGATACATAGCAATAATCTGTCTTAGAAACAAATAAGTTACTTGGCAGACGTCGATAAGATTCTAAAGGGTTTCACAGGTATTTTGTTAACATGGTATATGCTATTTAAAAAAACAAAAAAGTTGACATGAAACTAATGTGGGACTAAATTTATTCCTAGCCTTCCTTGAGATGGTGCTTTTGAAATGAAAGCTAAAATTAACCATCACAGATCCCTGAGGATAGCTCTTAAGATGACATCCTTTTAGGTCCCCTTCTTATAAATTTGACCCAGTTGCTCTCAGGTAGCATCCACAATGCAGTTTCAAGAGAGAAAGCTGGAGAATTTTGATGTAGTTAGGCCAATACTTAAGCACTGGGCTAGCCACAGAGTGGGAAGTGTATTCTACATAGAGAAAACTGGAGTATCAGGATGGCAAACCGCAGAAGGATCCGATGGACATAGAACATTTAGGATAGGTGGGGGAGGTTCTGAATTAAAAGGCTGATAGGAAGGAGCTTGGTAAGTCATGAGAAAGATTAGGTTTTAGTTTTAGCACTGTTTCTAAATAATAGGGTGAGCTTGATCTTTACGTTTGTGCTTTAAAAGAACACTGGAGAAACAGAAAAGCCCATTGGAAAGGGCCAGCCATTAGGCTGCACGAAGCCATGGATGCTGTGGGGTAGATTTAGAGTCCATGGAAATGGAGAAGAGGAGGTGGGGTTGTGAACAAATATATATAGGAAGAGGAATCAGTGGGACTTGGTAATTAACTCAGCCAGCCATTTCTTAGAAGTTGGCTTTCAACATCTTTTGGGTTATGATCCTACTTACTGACTTGGGCAGCATTGGAGAACATAGGTTGAGAGAAGATAGTGAATTTCATTTGGGTTACAATGAGTTAAGATACTTGGTGGTCAGAAGATCAGGACTGACACAATTGCCAGTGAAGGGAGAGGGGCATAAACATGCTATACAAACAGACATGAAAGTAGAATAGTTTGGGGGGGGGGAAGGCGGTACAAGTAGTAGTCAGTGAATTCAGGAGCGTGGTAGTCAGATGTCAAAGAGCTGGTGGAGTGGTGGGTCCAGAAGCCAGATTACAACAGGAAAGTAGATGGAGACAATAACTTGCTGATAGCAAGTGGCCACTGGTTGTAGATAACTCTGAAAAGGTGTGCGTGGAGCTGAAGAGCTTAGAGAGAAACAGTGCTGAGGAGGGCTTCTCATGGGGTGTGGCTTGAAAACAGGAAGTTCCCTGTTAGAACTTGAAGCCGTTCTGATCCCTACCTTTCTTACTGCAAGATTGTTTGAGGATTTATTTAGTTATATATCCCCCCAACCTCCATCCTGTTTCCTGTTTTGGTTTCCAGTCTACTGTGTCCGAGTTCAGGTCCTCCTTACCCAACCTAGGTTGTTATAAAGTCTAAAGATAGCATTTTGGCCTAATTGTACTTTCTGTGATGATGGAATTAATTCCTTGACCAGTTCAATAGCATTTAGTCACATAGCACTGGACACATGGAATGCCCAGACTGTAGCTAGAGTTTTCCTGCCTGGCCCACAGTCAGGACAAATCTCTGACACCCGCCAGTAACATAGCCACTCAGACCCAACCAAATAAACACAGAGACTTATATTGGTTACAAACTGTATGGCCATGGCAGGCTTCTTGCTAACTGTTCTTACAGCTTAAATTAATCCATTTCTATACCTTGCCACATGGCTCGTTCGTGGCTTAACGGCATCTTCACATGCTGTTTCTCATTGTGGCGGCTGGCAGTGTCTCTCTCACCCAGCTTCCTGTTCTCTCAATTCTCCTCTCTGTTAGTCCCGCCTATCCTTCCTGCCTGGCCACTGGCCAATCAGTGATTTATTTATTGACCAATCAGCAACACATTTGACATACAGACCATCCCACAGCACCAGACATATCTCCTGAACTTAAGTTTTCATCCCATGTCTGATCACTGATTTAAACTTAAGTAGGTCTGTATTGTGGGTAGACTGGGCAGTGCAGATTCAGGCAGTGCTTTGAGTTGATGGGGTGTGGAAAGTTAACAAGGGGTTCTGTTGATGGTGGTAGACATGACTTTTAAATACCATACTTATTTCCGTTTTGAAGTCCTTCCTCACTTGTGTTTTGCATCTGGAAAACCATATACCTCCTTACATTCTAGTACCTATACAATGTCCTATTTAGCCCTAAATATAGGCTGGACTTAGCTTTTAAATATCATGTTCAAGAAATACCAGAATTTTGAATTTTAGTGTTACGATTCTGATAATTTTTCTCTTGGCAGCTCTCTTAAATGAAGATGTAGATTTT